TGGTTGAACTAAATCGTGTCCCCATATACATTCTAACATCTTAGGCGAGAACATCTAAATGGGTTTTACTGTACTATTATAAAATGGCAAAAAAGCTTACTTTGAGGGTAAAGACGAGTTTTATCTTATTTTTTTAAATTTTGAACGGTAATAACGAGTAAAATATTCATTAAGAGATATGACACGACCACTTTTGTCTTCACCCCGTCGACCTTTAATTAAGAACCAAAATTTAATAGTATTAATGCCCCTTTATACGCAGGCTATAGTGCTACATTTCGTTTCTTAATCTTAATGATATTGACCGTTCTGAGATATTGTTTAATATCTCAGAACAGAAAATAAAGAAATTAAACAAATTAGACGCCAACACACACGCGCGCGCGCGCGAATTTTTCCCCTTTATTGACTTTTTCGAGGGGTTCGGGAGGTCTCCAAACGTGTAGATTTGCAAAAAAAACTTGGAGGGTCAAATTTGACACGATTCCAATACTTTTCCGTTTTATATACATAACAAGTTGGTAAGTAAAAAGGCTAAAACATCAAAAGTCCACGACTCCGACTCCACAGCCCTGAATTATACATTTAAGATGTATCATATTTCATAAGTTCAAAATTGTTTTTAATACCAAATCTTTAATTATAGCCATTATCGCTATTCTCGAGTAGCATTTTAATTTAGCGATCTATTTTGAATTCCTAAGTTTCTTATACTGAGTTATGATGCAATCACTCTGCTGCAGGAAATTAAGTATTAATCATGGCCCCCAGACCAGGATCATTGGCGAGCCCATCTCCTTCTTAGCGGTGTGAGGCGAGGGACCTAACCAACCGGCCCACGCGGCCGCTTTGGGATATAAGACAGCTAAATGAAAAAATTATTTCCATTAAATTAAACACGCATTTACAAAAACAGACTAGATTTATTAGAGACAATAGAGGAATTACACCGAGAAATTTTACAATGACGAACACGTTAAAAACAAAAACAAAATAGGAACTAACACAAGAACTGAAAGAATGGCAGAAATTGAAAAACAAAGCACACCCAAGAAACTATCGATTAAATTATTTCGTAGTAAATTTTCTGGCTTTTGCCAAAGTAAATTTTTCGATCACGTCACTAAAATTTGTGTTTAGCTAAATCATCTTCAATGCACAAAACGTGGTTATTTAACACTCCTGACCAGTTGAGTTTCTTCAGTGAATTTGCCAGTTTACTGAAAGACCTCTGGCAAAATCTCACGAAAGATATTGTTCGTCTGTCAATTGCCATAATTGTAAACGGAAAAATTCTGATAAAATTCACCTTTCCTCGTGACTCAGAAAGGTAATTTTTATACTTTTATGATTGTTGTATTAAGTTAATAGTAGCTTAGAATATTAATTAAACTATGTCAAGCGTTAAATTGAACTCAACAAGATCTAAGCAAAGCAAAAAATACAAGCTGGCCATCTTCATACTGGGCCCCCGACTAGGGTCCGGTCAGTCATCACGTGGGGGCCACGGTATTAATGTATCAACATGGTTATACTGTACACAGTACTAAACTAGAGCAACTACTAACGTAGTTGACTATTTTCAACTGTAAATACTAATTAATATATGCATGCCAGATCTATATATAACTTGATAATTTCAATTCATCTTTTAATGTTTAAAAATTTTGAGATACCCAATAATGATTCTTGCAATGACCAAATCAATGGATTTGATTGTCATTATTGGATTTGGCATCAATGATAACCATATTATCTTTACAGACACTTGTATTTTGGATTTTCATATCATTAACACTTATTAATTCTAATAATGGATTAAAAAACAGAATTATGATACAGAAAATGGTATGTTTTGACTTTCAAAATTTAACATCAAGTTGATGTTTTTACGTTATAATCTATTACAATTTTGTATACTGTAATTAGATCTGTAGAAACATACCAAAATATTTCTCAGCAATTTTTTAAATCTCTGTAATGATAAAATTTGCTTTTTTAAATAGTTTATTCTATCAAAACACATAACAATGCTTTTGTTTCTCAGTCGAATAAATCTTTATACAATTTTAAAAAATAAAATTTACCCAAATCATCCCATTTTTCTTACCTGTTATAGCATCTAAGTTTTAAGTTTTTTGGATAATGGATCTCTATTGCCAAATATATCATTTATCAGACAATATATTTAATTCTGTATTTGAGAAAAAATGATATTGTAACATCAATTCAATAATTTCTACTTTGAATTATATTAATTAACTAAATAATATTTTATTCCCAAATTAACATATATTCTCCCAGATAAAGATTGTCTACATAGGTATATTTGAAACAAAATTTATTATAGTTTGAATCCTCTAAAGCAGTGTTTTTCAACCTTCTTGAATAAGCGACCGCTTTACAAGTTAAAAACTTCTGTCAACCCCCCAGGGCCATATTAAAACTATATCAGTGATTTTAAAAACTACGTATTTAATTTTCTTTCTGTTCAGACCTAAATATCCATTGAAAAACCAATTATACTTAAAATAAACAGGTATAGCCTACTCACTGAAATTGTAGTTTTTTCATTGTACTGTAGGACCTACAAACACTTGTCTTTTTCTTTTACCCTCAATCCCAATGTAAGGCTTTGCGATGCCCCTGGGGTCGCAACCCACAGGTTGAAAAACACTGCTCTAAAGCAGTGTTTCCCAAGTAATATGCTTAGCACATTGGTGTACTTTGAAAGAGCTTATAAGTGNATTGGTGTACTTTGAAAGAGCTTATAAGTGAATCGCCAGAAATTAAAAAAAAAATATAAATAATAATAATAATAATAAATTTCTGAATCTTATTTTTTTTTAATGATAGAATTTTCATTTGAGAAGAAAACTACAATTTTTTGGTGCATTTATGAAAATATTTGTTTTTTATATATCTTATTATTCATCTTTTATTTTTCTGTGTCATTTTTATTTACTTGAATAAATGAAATAAATCATTAAATTTACAAAAAATTTAATGATTTATTACATTTAATGTTCAGAAAAAATTGTCACAATCAATATTAAATTTTACATTTTATCAGGCAATTTAATTCAATTTAGTGAAATTTTGTATTTTCTGAAGAATATTTAAAATTTTCAACAATGTATTTGATAGTTTGACTATTGTTAAGGTTTCAATTTTGTCAATTCTGCTGCATGTTTTAATACAAAAAATAAGCAAGAATGAATACTATTTGAGAAAATATATTTTGTAAAAAGATCTGAAATAAATATCTGATTTTTTTTTATACCCACAAAATAAAATAATGATGCAATAATGATAAAAAGAGTAACAGTTTTTCAAATTTGACACCAAAATCTTGCAATCTATAGTTTGTGTGACATCTAAATAAAATTGGAAAACACTGCTCTAAAGATGGCATTGTATATTTAATAATTTAAAATTATATATTCTTGCTTTTATGATAGAAACTCTTTGTTCTTTCATTGATTACTAAGAAATTCAGGAAACATTAGACAAGCATTCTTCTAAATGACATAACTTTAATCACATGCTCATAAAATCATATTTAATCCGATATTAAGAGAATTCAAACTGACGATATTAATATATGTATTGCTCAAAATATTAAGAGACAATAATGTTCTATTAATAAAATAGACAAATTTTTATGTATAGCAGATATAATTTGTAACATGCTAAAACAATTATAAAGTACATTTCACAATTAGTAAATATAATGTTTTTTAGAACTGTCAACTGTAATGATAACTAGGTATATCGTATCATCAACAGATACTGCTTCTAAAACACATCATATCTTCTAATTGGAAAATAGAATAAAAGGCTATTTTTTAATATTTTAATGCCATTTTCTATTTATTAAACAGGAAATGACTTTACTTGATTTCTGCAATATTACAAAGAAAATCAAGCATTTTAGCTAACTTACAAATAAAAAGTTAATATTTTTAAAATTATAATTAAAATAATGTTCTTTTAAGTAAAAAAATATATGAAAATTAATTTTATTTGTTTTCATTTGATTAGCAATATTTTAAAGTAGAAGATTAAATAAAAGTAAATCAAAATAACAAATACATAGGTATTCAATTCTTATTGTATTCTTTAATTTTTTAGCATTATAAAATTTCTGCTATTCTAAAAGGAACCCTGAACGATTTTTAATCATGTATGGCTCAGTTGGCCTATTTTATTATAGCAATACAATATTAATTTGTTTTTTTTTTTTTGGAAATGATTAAAGCATATATTTTTGGGATAAAATATTAAAACTAGTAAGTACCAGACTTACACATAAATATAAACTGTTATTTTTGTGCTGTTTAAAACTTTCTGCGCAAAGCAGCAAAAATAATATATAAAACGTTTCTTGGATCTAACAGAATTCACAAATACACATTGACATTTTAGCGGCCAGGAGAATTTCTAGGTATGCCGCCGGTCACAGATGAATAGTTATCCTTAGTGAAATAGTAATGACAAATGAATTACTTAAGGCTCTCGACGGAATGGTATTTTTGTATAGTAGTAAAGGTCACTTCTTTCCATATTCTTCAATGCATAAATGACAACTCCATGAACCTATATTAAATTGAAAAATATTTCAACATATATTATAAAACTAAACTGATAAAAGTAATTATACATACTAACCTTCTGGTGGCTCAGAGAGAGGAGGATTTAGACAATACATGTGATAGCCCCGGTCACAATCATCACAGAACAATAACTGATCCTTAAATAAAAATTATATCCATACATATTAATTAAATTATTATTATTAATGGATTATAAATTCATATAAAATAAAAAATAATTACATCGTTATCAGATGTGCCACAGAGACCACAGGACTTGCATTCAATACACTGCCATCTGTATTTTTTGACTGAGTTTGTCATATTTGGTGTGAACTGAAGGCATGTTGGATGTGCTATAATGTAAAATAAAATATTTTTACATTTGGAAAATGTAAATTTTATTTTACCTTTAAAACACCATACATATTTATAATAATTAAATCAATTATAAATCTTAGACAAAAAAATACATCATTATCATCAAATTTTAGAAATTCCTGAAGTCTGAGATAGCAGCTTGACCAGATACTTCTAGTCCAAATTGTTTGTTATATTAATTAATTACCATACTGTAGCCCAATAATAATCCAGCTGTATCATTTGATTAATAAAGTATATCAGGTTTGGTTCTATATGTAACTCATAAAGTTTAAAGGATTAATCTTTACAATAACTTTTCCATTATTATATACTTTCTGAATCTAAATAATGAATAAAACTCTTGATTTTTGAAAGAATAAAAATGCTATTACAATAAAAACACCATATAAAATAATTAAAAATGCACATACAGGATGCATCAGAACAAAATAACAAAAAAAAACAAGAGTGGATTTCTGATCACAAAATGGTTTTGAGGTAACAATGGCATGGTCAATTCTCTTTAGTTATAGAGATATTGGGCATAAAACATTGGAAATGAACACCTAGAAGTAATCTTACCTTTCTGGCATATCTTGTATTAAGCAATGTAAATGTCACTGTACCAGCCATAAATAATGTATCAATGATTATTGACAATTAACAATGATTACAGTTCAGTCTTATAGGTAATCACTATCAATATCAATCACATCTCACTACCTTTGCTGCAAACTTTCAATCCTGTGAGCATAGAATAGCTGGAGTTTGTATTTGAAGAAAGTCTTGTACATCTTTCTCACATGGGCATTGTCATCAAACTGAATATTGGCAATATGGTTCTGTGGGGCATGAATAGATGGTTGTCAGATGGTATAAGTCTGGGCGGTAAGGTGGATGAAGCAGAACCTCCCACCCAGTCTGGTGAGCTTCTCTGAGGTCATCTTTGCTGTATGTGATGGTGCATTGTTATGGTGGTATTAAACTTTGTCAATTCTCTGCTGGTCACTGCAGATTATTGTCTATCAGTTGCAGGAGAATGTTGTCATCAATTTTCATCTTGAAGTGAGAAATCTGCACTCTTCAATTTCTTGACCAATTGTAGCAGGTCAGTCTGATGATTGTGTCCTTTCCTCATGCCTTGCAATGTGCTATGACCATTTTTGAAGTGATATAGCAACAGCATGCAAATGTGTGCTTTTAAAAGTTTCATATTGTCTGACATTTCTGGTATGCCTATTTTTAATGAAATATGTGATAAAATCCCCTTGCTACTCTACTAATATACCCAAATCAAATGTTCTAGAAAAAATTGAAATGTCTTAATTTCACCTTTATAACCTGATATAGTTTATCTGTGACAATTTTGATAAAAAATAAACTAGTTTCAGTCACGTTTATTTGTCACTCTCTCCTATTAAAGAGTTTCTCAAAATGTCACCTATTTACAAGGTTTAATTGATAAAGGCTTCCATTTTTATAAAATTAGTTTAGAAATACATAGGATAATGTGGCAATTTTAAATACTAGTAAAAATCATTTATTTTAATCATATATATTTAATTTTTTAACATAATGATCATTTCTAGTGATTCATTTTTCCAAATACAGTAGAACCTCCATTATCCGGATT